TGCTGGCCCCACACACACCAAGGGACACACTCTAGACCTTGTTTTTACTTTGGGTCTACATGCTGGTAGTGTTTGTCCTGAGGATGTTCATATTTCAGATCCCCATTGCGTTATCTTTAACTTGTCAGTTTCCCCACCTCCTGCTCACCTTCTGGTTAGTTCTCGTTTTCTTAATGAGAGCACAGCTAGCAAATTTTCTGCTGCTATTGATCCACCCTGTTCTTCTGATAACGACCCAGATTCCTTAACTTCTCAGTTTAACAAGCACTGCATTTCCATTCTGGACAACATCTGTCCTGTCAGAACCAGATCAGTTCCTGCAGTGAACCCTACTTCCTACACTTAACCCACCTTGCCTGCTGGTGGAGGTCAGAGGGACCGGTGGCGCCTAGAGGGACCGGTGGCGCCTGTGCTCGGCAGCCTCGCCTCTGTCAGTGCGCCCCATGGCAGCTGTGGCTACATCATAGCTCATCACCATCAGTGTGTGAATGTGTGTGTGAATGGATGAATGATACACTGTAGTGTAAAGCGCATTGGAGTCCTTACTCTGAGAGGTGCTATACAAGCGCGGGTCATTTATCATTATCATTTAATGACAGCCTTTGCAGCCTAAAGCACCAATGCAGAAAAATTGAGCGTGTTAAAGTGGAGAATGCTCCCTTTACGTGAAATAAGGAATGTTATTTTAACAACCTTTGGAAATGATTAATATTGATTGAATATTAATTCGGACAACGCTTATTTTTCTCAGAAGACCTAAAGAACTTTTTATTCTCAGGTATTTAGACTCGCTTGAATAAAGATCAACCTTCAACAATTTAAAAAGAATTTAATTTATAAATCACAATTTAAAATCTCACACAGTTAACAATTCCCTGATGTTTAATGAGCTAAAATGTGCATGAGAGCAGAGCTTAGCTGAGGGCTTAGTTCATCTGTCTGAAACAGAAATTATGTTTTGGGTTAGTCTACTGTGTCGCTTTGGAACAAGAAGTGATCATGAGTGCCCTAAATCACCTGGGGGGTGTCTTGGACGGACCCCGGTCGATGGAGGAACACGGTCGCTCCCAGCTGGTCTCCCAATCCGTGAGGCTTTGAGGTTAAAGTCCACTGGTCAAAATCAGTCTCTGATTGGCTCAAGTTTAAGCAAACCGTTCCACGGTTGATGGTGGAACTCAGTTGGTGTTTTCAGCTTGCTTGCAAGTGTCCAGAACCTGGCAGCGTGCCAAAGTTCTGATGTTGTCGAAGAGGAATTCACGGGCCCTGTGAAGTCTCAACGAACTGACTCTCAGCTCGCTTATCAGTAGTTTTGTAGAACGACCCCCCTTCCCGGGGCATTCCCAGATCGTGACGTCTTTGCCCTTGAGAAGCTCTGCTCTTGCCTGCTGTGTGTTTAACAATATGTGGTGTATTATTCGTTATCACATCATCTCCATTAAACATCATTTACAAGTTTGATCACAAATTGATTCAGCAGTTGATCATATTAATTAATTCATCAACAGATCTCATTCTTTATTAAAATCATAAGATGAACAGTTCAGCTGTCCTCCTTCCCCACACTGCGTCCTTGACAACTGGTTATCAGAACCCAGCCTCTGCCGTCCTTGCAGAAGGAGAGTGTGTCTCAGCAGCCATCTCGGCTCCAGGTAAAAGCAGAGGCACATGTCGGGTCAGTTTGACCCGTCACAGAGGTTGATGGTCAGTAGCTTGTTGTTGTTACAAGCGCTTGTGGAAGAAAACCCGTCTCCATGTCCATCTGCTGCATCTAAAGAATCTTCTGACTTCCTTTAACTCTGCAGTCAGAGATGCAAAGGTTGACTATTTCTCCAACCTGGTGTCCCAGAGCAAAGAGAATCCCAAGGTGCTGTTTAACACCATCAGAAGCATCTTCTCCCCTGCCTCTCCTACAGCCTCCATTCACTCTGTTGTAGACTGTGAGAACTTTCTGTCTTTCTTTGTGGACAAAGTCAATAAGGTCAAATCTAGCATCTCTCCCTCAGCCTTATCTCTGCCTCTCCTGACTCCAACCAGGCCCATCATCCTACATAGCTTTGCTCCTGTTTCTTTGCCTGAGTTAACCAAACTAGCCAACTCTATGAAGACCTCTGCATGCCCCCTCTACATCTTACCCTCATCTTTGTTTAAAAGTGCTTCTCAGTCCATCGATCCCAGCGTGCTCTCCACAATTAATGCTTCTCTGGTTTATGGTCAGGTCCCTGCTTACTTTAAAAACGCTGTGGCCATCTCCAAGGTCCTCCACCACCTCCCTCACCCATGATGTCCCACAAGGTTCTGCACTGGGGCCTCTACTCATCTTCCTCTATCTGATTCCTCTTCAGCACATCCTGAGCTCTTTCAGAGGAATCTCCTACCATCTTTATGCAGATGACATCCCAGCTGTACATCTCCTTTAAGCCCCATGAGATGTCTAAGCTGCAGCTGTTACACACCTGCTTAGACTCTATCAAAACCTGGATGGCTGGGAGCTTTCTTCAGC